TTCTACACTGCAATACCACGTGAAAACTAAAGTTACAGACTCTTCTATCTATCAAAAAATCAAATAGCCAAAAATCCCTTCGCGAGACACCTCTTCCAAGAGTTCGAAAGTGTTAAGTTACCCTCGATCCTTCCCATACTTCAAATTACACTCCCTCACACCTCTACTCATCAAACTTCACCGATTCTCTGCCTCTTTTTCAATCTGCACGAAGCACGATCGATAGTTCGACGTTCTTAGATGAACAAGTAGTTCTCATAGTCCGCGTACGAGGAAGCGGTGATGTGTTTCGAGGACAACGGTGTCGAAGGTACGCTCTGAGGCAGTTGTTGCACCCTCGGAACCTGCAATTGCGGCAGCTGACTCGTATGAGGCACCACGATTCTAGCTTGTTGATTCAGAGAGCCCATCGACAGATGATGCTGGTCCACTTTGTGTATGCTGTTGTTGTTGTTCATCGAATTGCTGTCTTTGTGTTGGTACATGGACAGATGGTTGTTATTGTCCTGGACGTAGTGCTGCTGATGGCCAGCGTGGAGGTTCAGTCTTGACATAGCCATGCTGATGCTCGAGTCCGACGCCCACATACTCTGCGAACAACAACGATTGTGTAACGAATTTGACTTTCTATTATATTCTTATGAATAATGCCGACGCGCTGGTTGACGCGGCTCTTCGAGATGCGTCCCAGCGCGCGTAATTACGCCTGGCCATCTTGGAGCAGATCCAAGATGAGGAATTCCTTTGTCTTACAACCGTGAGAACGTGTTTAAGTATCGAGTAGCTTGTTGGAGGAAAAAAATTGTTGTTTGCAAATGGACAGGTAATTTGTTTAATCGTTGGTCGTTTTTTTTTTTTTGAATTCCTTATGTGAAAGTGAATATTTAACCCTTTCGCTGCGGCAAATTTTAGTACGTAACGCGCGTGGCAGATTCAGATGATCCACAATGGCCAGAAAATTTTCTTTTTTGGCTGTATCGTTTTAACCCTTTGCGGCCCAAATAGTCCAGTTAGTCCGTATTTATTTGGTCACTTTCACGCAGTACCATGTAGTTTTCTTTTATTTCAATATTTCAGCGTAATATTAGTTATAAAACACTAAGTTTCGGTGTAATATTAATGCATAGAAAATGATTTATTATCTGAAGGCGTAAATTCTTACGTCGCGTCTGACTCGACATAGGACCGCAAAGGGTTAAAATTTGTTTCATTGAATTAACGTGGAAAAGTGCAGAGGAGGAAATTAAGGCTTGAATTAATATGGAAGAGTGCAGAGGATAAAATTAAGGCTTGAATTAACGTAGAAATGCGCCAAAAGGCTCCAATAACACAAAAATTTTCAAAGCGCCTATAGACATCAATAGCAGTGAAGGGGTTGAAGAATTTTCCTTGGATAGCCAGAGGAATAATTGGAGGAGTGAGAAAAAGAATTAATTACTTTTCTTCTGTGAGGATTGTAGTCAGGGTTGCGCCTTATACGAAGATGGCGGTCGATGCTGGACCATCGTTGCGTGACCTTAAGGGGTGAGTCGTCAGGATGCAACTTCCTTTGGTACTCCTCGCCTTCGCAGACCTCGTACAGGGAGAACTGTTCGACGCGTTCCTTGGAGCTGTAGCAGCTCAACAGCATCTGGATAAGTTCGTCCACGGTGGTCTGCTCGGAGACCAATAGGCTCTTGTACTTTGACTGCAAGTGGTAAGACGACGATGATTAATCGACTCGAGAGGTAGAATTTCTTTGGAATTTTCAAGTCAACAAATTTTCATTTATCTTCAAATCTTAACAAGCGTCCAATTTAAAGGGAAGATGAATGGAACAATGCATGATAAAATGTGGAATGGTGTAAAATAGTTTAGAGCGAAGTGAAGTGGAGCAGAATAGAATATAAAGAATAATTTTCTTAGCCTTATCAACTTATGTAGATTTGAAATAATTTCATTTAAATAGAATAAATTTACCGAGCATTCAATTTATTGTACAGATGAAGAGAGTTGATATGTGTAAAATAGTGTGTGTAAATTTGAAGTAATTTCATTGCAATTGTATAAGTTTATCAAGTAGAGAATGTAGAGTAGAGCATGATGGAATGAATAGAGTAGAGTAAAATAAACCAGAATGAGCGAGAATGAGAACAATGTTCATAGAACGAAGCAGAATAGAATAGAAACAGCAAGCAGATAAACGTGTAACTAGAATCGTTACACGTGAACTAAGCAAGGCACTTTACGAGAACACGGAATAGTATGAAAGTGTGTCTAACTTACTCCGGACATGAGCGCGCTGTCGTATATTTTGACAAGTCCGCCACGACGTGTCTGCAAGGAGAATCTGCAAGAAGAAAACATCCGTGAATCCTGGGGGTGAATCGTGGAAGCCGGTGAGTTCAAAGGGAATCGACAAACGCTACTTCCTCGTAAAAACACAAGACTCGAACTTCCAGTCAAACACTGTCTGCCTATATAACGTACACACCTACGCCGGAAGTTTCGTGCTACCGTGAAAACACTGGCGACTTCCATAGGCTTTCGCTGTGCTGCGCGCGACAGAAGCCTCGAGACACTTAACACCGAAACATTTGTTCCTTGTATATTCTTTTGCCGTTTGTGGGATTTCTTCAAAATTGAACGCTCTGACGCGTTTAGACGTAATTCTTGCACAGTGTGCGACAAAAGTGATTTTTGTTTTTGATTAAAAGGAAGGGAGTCGGGTGATATTGAGAAGTTACGAAGGTCCATTTTTAATGGAATTCCATTGCATTTTCAGTGTGATACTGCATATTTACCGTAAAAATGGATAAAGAAGCTCAGGAAATAACGAGAATTTAACAAAAGAATTTCATTCTCTAAATTTTCTTCGTTTTGAGTATTATAAAAGCGTGTAGGAATAAATTTGACACAAATAAAACAGTTTCATCTACAAAGGAATTTACGAGAGAATACAAATTTCGATATAAATAATTACGGTCGTTATATACATCGCGTACGATAATCGTTCAGCTCGAAATTATTCAGACTACAGTGGGTAAAACGTGACTCTACGAATAAAGACGATACCGCCTCGATATGGGCTAAAAATCCAAGGGAAACGATCAAGACAAGGGTTCTCCCCCTCTCGTTTCGCCAGAGTGTTGGCATAAATAAAGGTATACACGTCTGGCGCAGTCGAGCCAGACGACTCGAAGAAGCCAGAACAAAGGGAGAATCTCTCTGGAGAGGACGTTGCTCGTCGTTGGCTCGTGCTCATCGACCCACAAGAAGTCGTATTTACGGTCGGTCGCGAGCCCTGAAATTACGTCACGAAGCCGACCGAAACCGAAGGGGGAGAGAAACCGTGTGCACGAGTGAAGAGAGAGAGAGAGAGAGAGAAAGGTCGAATCTTTACCTGGAATCGCCACGAGGATGACACGATTGCAAAACGGCAGGCCTCGCGTCCTCGTCCAGAGGCAGAACTGTCCTCACGTTTGCTCTTCTTACGGTAACCTCCATGGTGAGGTAGAACAGCCTTGGGTCACGGTGCCTCATGCGGTACTTGTTCAATAGGTTCTGGACGATCTCGCGACATGTCGTCTCGTATGTGATGCTCAGAGTCTTGTACTCGATGTCTGGCCGCAGACAGTTCGCGTACACCTTTATGGTCGTCTGTAACGAGAATGAGAAATCATGAGGAGTACGTTCTATATCTGAACTTGAATTCGTTAACCCTTTGAGTGCCGAGGAGTCTCGTATTCGACACCGAAAAGTGCCACCGCATCGAGCCACGAAGTGTAAATTTTATTCTATTTCCTTACAATCTGTAGGAACCGACGGAAGAATTTCGAGGGACCCAACAGGGAATCGAACCCGTGACCTTCGGCTTAGCAAGACGAGGCTTTGCGCACTACGCCAACTACTCCCTCTCTATTCTCCCTTGTCGATTTCCTATTTGGGTATGGAGGCCCGACACTACAAATCTGTCTATTTTTTTATCAAAAATTGAACAGAAATCCTGCACATAGTCAATTTTGCCTTTGTCTCGTGTCGTATTTATTGTCCACACGTCAAATGAAAGAAGCGTGTCACTCAAACGGTTAAAATGAGTAACAACGTCGGCGAGTCGCTGTGAACGACGAAGATGAAGAATCGTTATCACGAGGGATACGTTCTCTCTGAATTTAAATTTATTTAAACGAGTAACAAAGTCGGTGAGTCACTGTGAATGCATTTTTCCAACACTGGTTATATCGGAAATATGAAATTGCAATGCTTCGATGAATCATTGCTTCGTTTGACTCGTCATTGACTATTTCCTGTGAGAAGAACGAGGTGATTAAGAGAGCAATATGGAATCCAGGAAATTGCGATAAAGCTTCGCTCTTATTTTCGAATATTTATTCTCTATGTAAATCGTGTCCTTTTTAGACTATTTCATTCGTGAAGGTTTTAATAGTTGGGTTATTCTGAGAAAGGATTATACGAGGAAAGGGAGGAAGGAAGATGGCATCCTGTTGTCACAGGAGGAACCATGAAAAAAATGGTGAAGGCTTGACGCGGCAGGAACCTTGACAATTAGTCCATAATTAACTCGGAGACAGACGTTGGCCACGCGCGACGCATAAAACGCTATCAACCCTTCAGATACGCCGGCTACGAGGGGATGTGTGGACTGAAAATAAACCAGACACCAGATCACCCCGTTCGCAGATGGGTGAAAGTTGTGTGTATTCATATGTCAAGATTACAGCCTCATTTACACAGCGGCAGCCTATGAAATTAAATACAGGGGTGTGGTCTGTGAAAATCAATTTCAATCTACCCTTTGGTAGATTCAGAATCGAAAGGAGATAACAAAGAAGTGAAATTTCAACCCTTTCTTGGCTAAATTATTTTTACAAAATTTTTTAATTTATCTATCGATCGTTGCATCTGTCTTGTATACTAAACTGAGATCAATTTTTGTTCGAATGGTCGCGAAAGGGTTAATTTTGCTAATTTTATGCGACATCGATCCAGCAAGTAACTGCTGAAAAGGGTTAAAATTAGTCTCTTTTCGATTAACAGAGATTTACCAGAGATGAATGTGATTTATCAGTTAACAGTGGTAAAATTCGAGAAGCTCGATTTAGCCAGGATGAAAATATCCGGCTAATTATAAACAGTCGAATTCGGACCTGTCGATAGGCCAGATGTTACGAGTTTAAGCACGTTTGCACGTTTGCAAGCACCACTCGACGTTACGAAAACACGTGTAGGCAGATTTAACGATCGCAAACCCGCGCTTTATTTTCCAACTGTAACCGATCCGCGCCAAATACGGCGAATTGTCCACTGTACAGGGTAAAAGTTGCTCCCACGAATCTCTCTCTTCGACTCTACGTGTCAACGCACAATCGTTCCTCGTCGAGGCGAAATCGTGCGATGGAATAGGCCTGTTCGTGAAACACCGATTGGCCAACGTGTAGGATTTTCGCTAAGCTTCAGCCACGCTTCACGAGCACGTTTCAAAGAGAATACCGAGATTATCCTTTCACCGGGAGTATCGTTTGTAATGTCAATATGTTCCTTTTACGGCACACATTCGGTTCTTCGGTTAAATTGGACGAATCGTGTGTGAGGATTAGACACTGGAATCGTGTTTGAACGAATTTCAAGGTTTTAACCTGCCAATTAGCACGATTCAAATACGCAGCCCACTTTTCTGGGATAATTGACTCGTTCATGTAATTAACGTATCGAGGTTTCTCTAATTCTAATTGTATAATACACTTCTAGAAATCTAACCTAATGACTCTGTTGCTTCTCACGATTACTCTCCTTATTTAATTCTTTCTTTACTTTAATTTCTTTTTTAATCGACCGATGTCTCTTTCGATACTCCGTTTCTGCTTGCTCTTTTTACTTTTCCTATGGTAATTATTTTTTGTCAGTTGTTTTCTACGGTGTAAGAAAATCTTCGTACAAACGATTAAGGTAGATAGAGGAGAATTGGAATTACAGCATCCTTTGCAAAGTAGGTCACGAATATTCGACTTTCCTCGCCAACAGAATTCCTCCTCTGCGATCTTTCGATTTCGGTAGTGAGGAACACCAGGTTCGTGGTCGTATTTGCGTTTCAGCTAAACAAACAGCGGGCTACCAGCACGCCCTCGCTGCGGAATTCTCGGTGGTGTTTTACGACGACCAAGAATCGATAGAGAACCGGCGTGTTTCTAACGAGCCTCGGCGAAGCAGAAATATACACACGTGTCGCGTTTGAAACAGTGCTCGAACCACTACCGAGATTTCGATAGACTTCGTCTTACATATGTACGTTTTCACAGCAAGTGAAGAGAAAAAAAGAGAAGATTCACGTTGAATGGAAGAAGTCACGGAGACCGCTCTGAATCATCGGAAGAATTCCAATACGCTTACGCGCGAACATTAATGCGGTTTACGCGGAATTCTCAGGTGCTGCCGCACCGAAGTATCGATCTTTGTTCGACTTTTTCTCCGTGGAGAGCGTGGCCGCGAAGGCCGCTTCTTGCGCCGCGATACCAAATTCCTTTTGCAGGATCGATCCAGCCAGCATCCACTTCCCAGAACATTATACGCTTCCTTCCACGTTCAGAAGTATTTTCTTCCTATACTCGATGTTTCGTACGGTGTCGATTTACTATTTCGATCACCTTATAAGGGCGCGACGCGAATGGAAGTGAATTCGAGGGTGAATTTTTGCGAGGATAAATTTTTAAAATGACGAGTTAAAAGGAGGAGTGTTTTACTGTCAAATTTGACGAATTTCAAGGTTCTTTGTGCAACTCGGTAAGGGAAATACAAAAGTGAAGCATTTCAGGGCTATAAAATTATTAAAAAATACGAATTCACCGAGTTACGACCTTCACTTACACTCTACAATTTTTTATTTTCAAAAATCTGAAGAAAAATTGAAAATTTCTGTGAACGAATATTTCGAAGACCTGCGAAAAGATGAAAAATACAATTTTTCCTCGCGTATTGTAAATAATTCGAAAGATTTGCGAATCGTAACTTCGTTAAAGTCATGAAACTTCTCGATCATGTACACCGTGAGATTTATATAACGGTACAGATAAAGTGGTGCATTCCTGACGGACGCGAGACGATGGCCGAAAGAAGAACCGCCCGAGGAGGATCGACGGTATGCTTTTCCACGTTGCCGGCGGTTAATGAAAGAGAAAATAATGCGGAAGGTAGAAAAAGCTTGTAGACGACCGCATACGAGTGTCAAAGGGGGAGGGTCTGCGGCTCGTCAGTAGCTGCTTCGAGAAAGAAAAGATGCCACCCCGTTTAGAGACATCAATATCTTCCAGCCGGCTATACGAACCGAAATATACATGTGATATTTCCGTTTCGAAGAGCTGTTCTTCTCGTTCCGGTTAAAAGAGTATATCGTTGGAACGATTTTGGTCACGAATGAAATTCTTCTTGTACAGGAAATTGCGATAGTCGGGTGTTTGATAGATTTAAACATCGTTAAAGATCAAATTTTTCGAAGCTTTATTCTTACGTTTGCAGGAGAAACATTTATTAATCCTTACACGATGTGTAAATTTCTGGACTTTGAGTTTAATCATCTATTCTGGTGAAATGGAAGACTGTAAAAGGGAAAGCACGATAGTGACCAATAGTGACTCGAATAAAAATTGGTCACAATTTAATATCCATTACGAAGACGATAATCCGAAGATAAATAAGAAATTCTTAAGAAAAATAATTCGACCACCAAAGAGGTTTCATATTTCAAAAAATTTTTAACAAATATCTCTTCCGAGTCTGAGAACTAATTCCATACTCCATTACTGCTTCGTGCAATCACACAACACCACACGACAATAAGAAGAAAACTTAATTGGATCAACCATGGACGTACAATTGAAGATCTGGAAAAAATCATTTTAACTTTCGAGTAACTCGAGCGTTTCAACTCCGACCGTTCCCGGTAATTTAATTTTCTTCGTAATTGAATAACTCCGAACAGAGGGAGGCAGTCGAACGCGAAGAATGAACGGTTCCCCTCCTCCTGGAAGTCCCTCGAAAAAAAAGGAAGAAACGTCGTTCGTGTAAACGAATCGTCCTAATGGGGAAGTTAACAGGCAGGAATTCGAAGAAGAGGAAATTCGGCCGGCGTTAACGAAAAATCGACCGGGTAAAAGTAATCTGGCGTATCGTGCGTAAAGTGTAAAAAAGAAATCCAGGGGAAAGAAGTTGAGGAGGAAAGCAGCGGGGTGGAATGGCGACGGTCGCCATATGCCAGCAGAGTGTCCTCTAATGAAGGGTCTCTCTCCTTAACGGGAATTCGTAAAGCCCCGTGAACCTCTCTGACGTGCTTCGAAGAATGCATTTTCGGGACACTTGCAGGTTTTCAACCGGCAAAATCGTCGTTTATTCACGAGTAAGAATCTTCGGTGAGCTTGTTTTACAACCGAAAAATCTAACAACGGAGCTTCGTAGCGAATTTCTATATGAACGACTGAGATCGTCGATGTGGGTAAAAATAGACACGGTATCGCGAGCTTATCGTTATCAACAGCTGAAAAGAACCAGTGAACGAAGTGTCGCGTGTACGACACCCGGGATATCGCCTATCCCCGTTTCGCAGCAAGGTAAACGACACCTTTCAACGGAAATCATGTCGAACGTCCTTG